CTATGGAGTCCTTTCTTTTCCCTAATTTCAGAAATTCGAGTGGTATCGAAAGATAACTCACGGATAAGTCTTTTTAATATGATAGAGTCCTCTACCTTAATCTCTTTCTTGGTTTTTTTACTGGAGAATTTTTCGGTTGATTTATCTGTAGCTTCATTAGTCCGCTTTTTACTGGTAGAATCAGATGATTCTTCAATTTGGTCTTCAGCTGGCTTATGCCGATGCTCTGTTTCTTCATTTTCATCTAGATCCATTGCTTGATCCTGGGATGAAATTTGTGGAGAAGTAATTTCAATATTACGAGTAAATTTGCCAACTAGAGTTGATATACCACTCAATTGAGAAGATATAGAGTCTCGTCTTGAATCCTCATCAACGATATCAATGTTTTTTCCACAACCCAAAAAAGAACATGTACTTGATACAGTATTGATAATTTTTTTCTCGATACAAACTCTATGGTAAATATGTCCACATTCGAGTATTGTGAAGGCCTTATAAGCAACTGTTAAAATATCTTCGGTACAGATTGAGCATTTCAGGATTTCTGGAATTTCTGCATCTTGAACTATGCAAATCTAGATACCAACACTTCCTTAACCTCGTTTTTAAGTTCACTAATTTTTGCATATCTGGAAATATTAACTTTGTGATCATCCAATGGTTTAGATGTGTTAGGTGATTTATTATTATCATGGACGCGAAAGTTAAGAGTAATATCGCTAATGTTATTACTAGTTTCCATTTTTTGTTTCTTAAATACTAAAATTTATAGTAAGTGGGATTTTGATTTTATAGATATTTTTCTTTGCCATAAACATATGTACCTTAAAAAATTTTGTGGGAAGGTAAAAGCTAAATTTTACGAACTCTGTTTATTTATATATTTCCCTCAACCTCGATCTCGAACTTGCTAGAATAATTTAAACTTTATTAACTGAATCTCCCATTCTTAGTATAGCAAGCATGATCTCCAGCATAAGCAGGTACAAAGTGTCAAACCTGTTACGATTCTAACTCCATAGAAAGTCTCGCTATACACAATCAACGCCAATATACAGAATATTAAGTCATAGATGCAGGAATGAAACCCCTTTAGCTCGACGATCGCAACGAAATCGGTTAACACAGCGACGATCTGGAATTGCGGAGATTCCAAAGTTCCATAACTGGCATTTTCTGATAACGGCGCTGATAAGAAACAATGGGCTCTTTACCCTTATTGCCTTTTCAAGCTTTGTTATCGCTGGTTCTTATCACAAAAGCATGTAATATAGACATATTTCCCAGCCTATATAAATGAAAAAATTTAACGATAATCATATGTTCCATGAACTTCTATGCTGATCCTACCCATGTTGTGATTGGTTGATAAATTTCTGACCGTTAACGGTTTTTTAATTATTCTGATTGGAGAGTCAACCTTTTTCTTTTTAATATGAATACGATTCTTTCGGAATTTTATTGGATCGAGATCATACCAGTCTGAACCGTGGATTCTGAATCAGAGCTGGATGAATTAGTCTCTGTCTCAGATTTGTTGTGAAATATTCCATGACGTTTCTTTCGTTGCTTATTATTACAAAACAATGACCCTTCAAGTCTATCTTCGATATTTGAGAGAATTTTGTTAATTATATTTATAACCTCCTCTTGAGCTAGACCAGGTTTAGATTCCGTTGATTTAGATAAGTTATTTTTAGTGGAACTGGCTTTATGGCTCGAAGAGTCGCCTGTAGGTCTGCTATCTTCTTCGATTAATGGGATACTCATACCATCTATCTCAATTTTAACATAGCGCTTACAATTTTCCAGAGAAAATCCAAAGCTAATTTTTGCTTCGCGCATCCATAACCAATCCCGTCCTAGTACCAAATCAAATGATGGATTTTTGCGAATTTGAAAATCTATTACTTCAGTACCATCTAAGCTTCGCCACTTTCCTTTATACCGAAATTGCAAATCTAAGCATTTTATTTCACCTATTACGTCACCATAGAGATTCTCAACGGGATCACGTATTCCATAATCTTCTTCAAGCTTATCGAACAAGCGCCTGCTAATGATATTAGATTTAGATGTTATATCTATTAACGCTTTAACTGGGATTTTTCCTTCAACAAGGGTATTTACGAACATGTTAAATATATTTAATGATATATATTACCGTGAAAAAATAACTAGTTTAGATAATTAATTATCCACCCTAAAGATCTGCCACGATCAATGTAATCTTTGATCAATGGCTTGAACAAGACTATTTAATATATTAATTCGTTCTGGTCTAGTTAAACCCGATGATACTCGGATATAATCCCCGAATGCAGAAATAAAACCTGTTTCATCTGGAATAAGTGGAGGTAAATCAGACCATTCATCATCAGAATAATCTGGATGTTCGATTTTAATTTTTGGATTGAGTTTTTTCATCACTTCTTCGCTAATCCCTTTACATCCCTTTAAACCAAGATATTCCAAATTAGTACAGTTGTGGACTATTTCCTCGACAGCTTTATTACTAATCGAGCAATCACTAAGCTCAAGATGTTTAAGTTTTGGGCATGAGCGAGCAATTTCAGTAATATATCGATTAGTGAAACTCTTACATGAATTAAGACTCAGATGCTGTAGTTTTGGAGAAAATCTCGCAATTTCTATAATTGGTATGTTAGAAAAACCCTTACTTTTATCAAGAATGAGAAAGCGTATATTCGGACATGAACGCAAAATTGTACCGATCAATGCATCAGAGATTTTTAAACCTTCTAATCTGAGATATGCCATCTTTGAACAATAGAGAGGCTTTATTTTTCCACGCATAACTCTTTCAAAGTTTATCAATTGCCGAGTAAGAACCCGAGACATGTTTAGGGCATGCCGGCTCTGCTGATAATCTCCATTGAAAAACTCAATGCGACGCCATAGAATAGGAGCACCGCAGTGATACCAAAGGTGGTTGACAAATAAAGCAGGATAGAGGGATCGATGGATTTCTAAAAAATATAAGATCTGTTCTAGTAATTCCGGTAAATCAAAAATATTTAGACCCTTTGGGTTATGATTCTTTGAAGAGACAGAGTCTCGAATCTCTGATTCATCACCTAACGGCCTGCTTCGCAATAGTTGTGCCATTCTTAAATTATATATTATATATCTTTAATCGAAAAAAAAGCTAATGTCAGATAATTAATTTTAGGCGTATATACTATGAATTTTCCGGATATTCTCAATCACGCTTAACTTTGCAACCAACTCATCTAATGACAGGTCTGTTCTACATCTTCTGACTTCTAACTAGTTATCACGAGACAATCCACGGAGGAAGTGTTCCTTAAGGTATATTCGTTATTATTTCATCCCATTCTCCGCTACTACATATAATTATTTGTAAATCATGATGAATAATTAGAAATAATTCCACCAGTCTCTCTAACTGCAGAAATAAGATCTGTTACAATTAATGGATCTGGAATAAGTGGAGGTAGATCAGAATCCGAGAATTCATCATCAGAATAATCCAAGAATTCATCATCAGGATAATCTGGATATTCGATTTTAACCTCATAACTAGTTCCATCGAGCAATGTAAGAGTTTTATTTGGGAAGTCCACTTTCATTGCATTATCATTAAACCATGAGTTCCCTAACATCAGTACACGTTCAGGAATACTAACAACAAAAATATCGGTAACTTTTACTTGTTTCCATTTAGGGCCCTGAGACGGGATTGAAATAGGGATTTCACGAATTACTCCTACTACATCGAGTTTGCCAATGGGTGTGTATATTCCTACATCAGAGATATCATCGACTTCTAAACCTAATTCATTTATTAACTCCTCAGCTACAATATTACAATTAGCACCGGAATCTAATATAGCTGTAACTGGTACTTTGTTAATTTCGCAGGATAAAGTTATCATTGTGATGTTTTATTATAACAATATATTTGATTCTGCATTTTTAATACGTATTAATAAATAATTTAACCGAAGCTGATATATAGAAATAAGATCTGCTCTATCTGATGATGAAGCTTATTTCGCATTTTGATAGGGACAGGCACTTCGTGCCATTTTTCCTGAAATAAGTTCCATGACTCAGAGAGTCGCCCTTCGGCCTGCAATGCAATAACATCGATCTTTGGCTTGTTTCATAAATAATCCACCTGGTCGATAGAGCCATTTAATTATTGCGTGCTGAATTATTTTAGCCGAATATATTTGTTTTTTCCATAAACGATATGTCTTCTGGATAATTAATGATGCACAGTTTTTTTTATATAATGCTAGTTGAACTTTAAAATTCCTATATTCAGGGTCATTACCTATTTGCTTATGGCTGGTTAAATTATTTTTGATACGAAATACAAAATTTTCCCAGTAATCTCTATTATTTATTTCATATCCTAATTTAATAAACACTTACGTATATATTTTGGTGGATAATATTTTGCAAACCGTAACCATGCTTCTGACATTTTAATATTGTTAACAATATAATTTTCACCATATTCGCTTAACCTATCTCGTAAACCCGAAGGGGAATCGGAGATTCGATGCTTTGCATCATTATTGCTTTGCAATACTCTGCTATAACTCATTATATATTTGTTACTTGTTAATTTCACAAGATAAAATTCTAGTCATGATGTTTTATTATAACAATATAATTAATTTTGGCGCATTTTTTTTATTGCGTATTTATAAAATAACTAAACTATTACAATGACTGAAGTTGATAATCTTGAGACAATACAAAGTGTCTATAAAAAAATTGAAGAAATGTTAAAGCAACAGAGTGTAATTGATTCAGATCAAGAATGCCCAATTACCACTTATAAAGTTGCGAAAAAATTAGATTTTGAAAAAGATAAAGTAGTATTTGATATTGTTAAAAAAGTTACGGATAAAAAAATCTGGATCTCTTTTCGTCAATTATTAGAGATAGTGAAACCTGAGGTTTGCCAAGAACTTATAAACGCGATAACAAACCCCAATATTTCTCGGAGAAATCGTACACCATGTAAGGCTAAAAAAAAGATAATTTTTTAGTGATTAGTTCTAACTCCAATAATAAACACGATATACCAGGCTCCGCCGTGTATCCCTCCCAATTAGAAGAAACGTTGATGGTGATCAAGAAATCCAAGAGGATGATGAAGCTGAAAAAGAGAACAAATAGAGCTGCCGACATCAGGAGGAATTGGAAAAAACAGACAGGAAAGAATGCTATCTTGCCAAAAAGATACATGATGAACCATTGAATTACACCCTGACTTTTCAGACCCATGGCTTAATGGAGAGCATCATCTATGCCACCTAAAAAAGACTGGTTGGAAGTTGTTAAAGGAAAGGTTTGGAGACTAGAGTGAACGTAGAGTCAAGAAAGTGACTGAATGAGCGGAAGAAGCATGCAAAAAAATTTTAAATAATTAAATAATTATTATTACTTAAATCTATTAATTATTAGTAATAACACTTCGTAAAATTATTTTTCTTTAACCAAAAATTATTTATAATATCTTTATTAGTTTATATTATACATTTAATTTATATAATTACATAATAGAAATTTATTAGAGACATAATAAAACGAAACATAGATAATTATATGTATAAATAAATCTTTTTTATTCTACCGAATAATATGGGATTTGGCGGCTCC